GAGCGGGGAGGGGCCCGGACGCTGGGGCCGCCTCTTGGCCGCGGGGCAGCTGCGCGGCGGCTGTAACGGCGGGGGCGGGGACAGGGACGGGGACAGGGACAGGGACAGGGCCCGCGGGGCGAGCGGTTTCAATGCAGCCTTTTCCTGACTGCCCTCTGCTCTGAGAGGGCAAATACCTGCTTCTTCCAGCCCGCCGTTAAAGGAAACGGGCCCCCGTCTTCTGGAGGCGATGGAGGTCTCCTGCCTTCGAATAACTTTCGAGAGCCTGCCTGGGCACTCCTGCTGGATCATCTGGGTGAGGAAGTGCCGTTCGTCTGTTACGGCGCTGTATTGTCCCATTTACCTTATAATAGGCCAGCTAGCATCAACTGCTGCTGTGTTATAACCAGAGGCTGTCTTTGTTGTAAAATGATCATGGTACAAATTTAACGTACCTAATCAACAAAACCAATGAAATTGAAAGTTAAACATGTGAGCATGTCATCTTTTCTGCATTTTGCTGTTGCCACTTTCATAACTGTATACAAGTTGCTCGTAGATTAATGATCCCCTCGCTACAGACTTCAGAAACCCTTTGCCAAGTCGTCTTTTGCTAGTGGTTGCACATGCAAGGAATAGTATTGTGCTAGATAAAGAGGGTGAGGTCATAACTGTGGTTACAGAGGAGCCAAAATGAAAATTATCTTAATTCTTTTGGACTTAGGATCTATAATGTTCAGGATTTTCACTTGATGAGATTAAGGTTAGTTTAGCATGCTATAACATGTATGGGGCATTGAGCTTACCTTTGGCAAACATTTCATCTGCTGTTCTCCTGTCCACTTGCCTACCTTGTTCTGTTTTTTCTGAGTCTCCTGATAAGACTGTATAGTAACAGTCGTTGTACAGGGTACCTTGCTGCTAGACTCTGGCCATGAGGAAAAACTGACCAGGCTTGTTTCTGCTCTTTTCTCCCAAAGATCTCCCAGTGTGCCAGACCTTTACTTACATAGACATACTGGGATTAAGTGTTTTTTAGCAGCCTGCAGTGCAAGACTTCAAGAAACTTATAATTCAAACATTTCATTTTATCTACCATTTTGCTTGTTGGGTTAATTCAGAGGTCCACTGTGTTTTAAAGATGCAGTATTCTTCTCTACTTCTCTGTATCGCGCTCTCTCTCTCTATCTCTGTATCTTCTCTACATCTCTCATATCCTCATTTAGGTTATTTATGATTTAATTACTTAAAACACTTATTTCTGATTCTTTCCAGTTCCCTTGTGGTGCAGTTGGTTTCAATTAAGCTGAACGTTATTGTTAAGCCTCACTACACCTTTTTTCTTAAAAGTATTTCCACATTCTTGTATAAATTGCCTTAAACTCGTAATTAAGGGGAAGGATGTGGCTACTGCATGACATCTGCTTCCTATACCCCTCCACAGTCCTAATCCAGAAACCCCAAAATGCATCCTGCTTGGAACTACCAGGCTGGATGGAGCTGATGTTAAGAACTAGGCATTCTTGGACGTCACCTCTTTTTGTTAAGAGATCACTCGGCACTCCCATCTTAACCCTCTGAGCCACAGCTAGCAAGATGGCAAAACACACTAGACTACTGAAATGGAGTAAATGACTCCATCTGGTCTATAGGAAACTGTAGAAAAATTTACAAATAGATCTTTAACCTCATTAACTGCCACTGTGAAAGTGGAAAGGAAAGAGGAGAGGCAGTTTAGCATACGTGTATGGTCTGACAGCCAGTAGAAATGCTTCCGATCCAGTAAAAATTAGTTTCTGGACTCTGAATCTAGAAAAGTTTGCTGTCTCTCTGTTTGCCTCCTTGAAAAAGCTGAAGCACTGAGGTTCATGGAGAGGTATACCTGTCAAGATTCAAAAAGCATCCTGATCTGCAGCTGAAATGTTACTGCGCTAGCTATTTGGGTGAGGGGTGTGTTTTGTTTTTTTCCCTCCTCTCCAGTGGAAATAGTTTTACGAACTAGTTTTACTAGCATGGACATGTGATTTCACAGGAGGATATTACCCTAAACCGGAATATGCTGCAGAGGCATATGAGGCCAGCCTTATAGTATTAATACCTGGGTAACTATTTTAGTAACAAAGCCACATACGCTAACCCCAACAGTTACTACTCTTTTTTCACCCCAGAAGCATATTGGGATTTGCTACTTCAATTACATCCTATGGTTAGAGCAGCAAAGGCCTCCTAGTTTGCATGAAGGCTTGACTGATGAGTGGTGGGTGTGCTTCCCAGCAGGCCTATGCATCTCAGGCAGGGAAACTAAACAGCCTACTGACATAGTCTAGAAAAGTGGTTCTCAACTTTTATTCGTCTACAGGTGCCTGCACATTTTTCCTGGAAATGTAAACATCTGCATAACAAACTTAAGCCTGTAGCTTTTCAGTTACCTTTCACAGACCTCTTAAAAGTAGTCCAAGGACCACAAGTGAAGGCCACTACTTCAGAGGGATCTTTATGCACACCCCAAAAGGAGGCCTACAGCTCCAGAGCCTGTTTGCTTCCCTTTTTGCTGCAGAGGTACATATTCGACCCTTCTCACTCTCTCACGTTCTCAGTTCAGAGGTCCCTGCTCTATATTTCTCTCTCTGCAGGGAAGACTAGACGTACACACCCGCCTTTCTCACAAACACCAAACAATTCATCTGGAGCATTTGCCCCCCAAGTTGGTTGGTTAATTTTAAATATGAAAAAGGACACAAATGGCTCCATATTATGGCTGTGTCCAGACATTCCAAAAACATACCCTAGTTCAGTAGCAAAACTAGGTGCAGCCTCTAGTTCTTTGGAATCATCATTTCTTTTCTTGCAGTTTTTTTTTTTTTCATTCATTACATAGACACTCCATGAAATGAAAATGTTTGTTGGACCATGTCACTACCTCTCTCTAATACTTTGTAAGGCAGGGGATGCCCTACTCTACAGAAACAAGAAACCATGCGCACAGATTTAGTCTGTGCTACCTGAAAAGATTAAACAGGTACCTATCTTGTTGAATAGGAAACACAGAACTAAGCAATTTCCTGCTGTGCTCTGAAATGTACTAGTAAACTTGGGCTGCTCTCAGGTATATTACCTGCAAAATATTGGCTAGAAGAAAATCCTAGATGTGATATATATATCCTTTACTAGATATAAAGATGATAAAATACCAGTAACAATGCAGAAGAGAGGCAGTAGCTCAATTATATTCTATATTAAGAAGGAAGTTGGATGACAGACAAATCTGAGAGAGACATAATGAAATATTATCTGTTGCTAATGAGACTGAGGAGAATGTTTAGTTCTACCTATTAAATAAAACATCCTAAAACTTGCATAGCTAGAATCTTACAACCAAGAATTTTAAAATTGTCTGGCAAGCAGATGGAAGCAATGGGCTTTCTTTTCAAAACACCTTTGGAGTTCTCAGAGTATTCCAGAAGATCAGCAAATACTTTTATTTCAAAAGTATTTTAAAAGGAAATGGGATCATCCAGGTGGCTCTAAGCCAGTTAACTTAATACTGATTTGGCAAAATCACAATGTAACTGATACAGGATGTACTCTGCTTAAAAAAAAAAAAAAAAAGCTATTTGATTTAAAGAAGAAGATCTTATTAAAAGAACTACATATCCTTTTATAGCAATGTAAGTTTGGTGGTTAAAGATAACTGTTGGCCTAATATAGTATGACTTCTGTCTGAATACTATACAGCCTGGTCATTCATAAAGAAAAAAAGAAAGGCAACAGATAAGTACTACATGACAGAGCCAAACCTAATTGCGAGGTACCTAAAACAGCTCAATTTAATTTCGCTGTTTGGGAAGATGAATAGAGTGACTTGATCATGCTCTGTAAGTCATTATAAAAGAAAAAGATTTCTGATAGCAAAAGACTTTAATATACTGAACAAAGGCATAACGCGACCCTATGGATTAAAAAATGAAATAAAATAGAATGGCATTTTCAGTGGCAATGATAACCAACAGAAAACCTTTAATAAGGGACATGGTTGATTAACCATAAGGCTTTAAATTATTTAAGTCTTACATCTTTCTTAAAGATTTAACTGAATTACAGATCAGCAGTACTATCATCAGTCTCGGCTGAGATGCAGTTACTGTTTTGTGGGTGACTTTTCTAAATGATCTCAAACCTACATGATGACCGTTTCCTTTAAAAGAAATGATCATTTCAAAATTGAGCTAGGAACACACAACAGATTCAATGAAGGACAAGAAGAAGTAGCGCTCCTGCCTTTCAGCAAAGATAAAAGATGCAATCTAAGACGGGACTCAAGTCATTGTCAAGTGTTTGGGGGCACAGGTTTACAGGAACAAAGGGACTGGCATCATGAAGAAAATACACGGTTAAAGAATTAAGGGAGCTGAAGAGGAAAGACCATGCCATCATCTTAGAGAGTATCCCACTGTTGTGAGTGAAAGTTAAATAATTGAACTGTTGTCTGCTGGACTGTACAAAGCGAAAAATACTGCAGACTGTGGAACTTTAGGCTTCATCCCAATAGGGGAGAATTTTGTATGGATGTTACATCTTGCATCCTGCAGGTAGAATCTATTCTTTTTAAACCACCTGAAGTGTTCTGAAGGTGTTAAATTGAACATCCACAGGAATGCAAAGAGGAAAACCTAATACAAACTCAAAAGAAGTAAGTGACAGAGGTAATGAAGGTAAGATACTATTGTTATACTAATAACAGGATTCTGGGTAAAGAGAGAAGTAAGAAATTATCATTGATGAGGGAAAAAAACATGTCCTGGAATAAAGTGGCATTTCTGAAACTTGGTGGGAAAGTTCCATTGTAAAAAATCCTTAGTTTCTTCTTGGACAGACAGTAAAAGCTATAGGAGCAGCAGCAAACTGCACAAACACAGGCAGTAGTATCTGAAATTACTGCTAACACAGGGATTGTACAGCCTTAAAATACATATGGATTCCTATGCTGGGTAACAGAGTCCAAGAAGGGAAAGGACAGAAGACATTAGAAACCAACACATCAAACCAGGGGCCAGGAAGGATGATTTCAAGCACCTGTAACACATAAAATGGAAAACCACTGCAAGGAGTTTTAACTTGTGAGACATTCCCCAGGGTATTTAACCAGTCAGCAAAATATGTTTCCAACTTTTAAAATGGCAGTTTTCTTAATACAAGATACTGCACCCAAAACAAGTCAACTTTTTGGACTTCAATGCAATGCATAAAAGGGAAGATAATCACTTAAGTGGAATCTGGCAATTATGTCCAGCTCGTATTGAATACAGACATGCAGAGGACAGCCACAAGCAGTAATAACACTGCACAGAGTCTGTGCTTCACAAAGCTAATTTCCAAAGGTGAGCAAAACTGTAAACTAAGTTGTCTGTGAGAGGAAAAAAAAAAGTGAATGAAAACTTAATTTAAGAAAAATTTATTGTATGGCCAAAAAAGCCCCCAATTCCACAATCAAAAAAGCAGAACTTTGGATGAAAGCTCATTCTGGGTTCAGTGAGGAAAGTCTGTGAGCAACTAGAAATGTCTTTTAAAAAAAAAAAAAAAAGGCCAAAATATAACACATGGAAAAGGGGAAGGCCAAACAGCAAGCAACATAAATTAGGCATTATAAAGTAGAGAAAACTGACATGGAAAGCTCTGTGGCTAGCAAAACTATCGAAAATAGGAAAGGGATTTGGGATCATTCATTCCTTTTTTCTTAAGTAGAAAGGAAGCAAAATAAATCTTAAAAAACGGTGAAATTGCCAGTGACACAGAACAAGGAAAATCAGTCAACAAATACCTCTATTCCATATTCAGAAAAAAACAGGATGTGGCAGTAGTTTGAAAATAGCAATTTATCTCCAGTACCTTAGTGTCAAAGTAGGAGATTAGACAATATCTACTAGGGATATATATTTTTAAGCCAGCAAACAACAAGGAGTCCTAAAAGAGTTAACTAACAAGCTTTCTAGCCCATTGATTCCAATTTTAATTAATCTTGGGATATTAGAGAAATACCATTAAGACATTCACGACAGTATTCCCAAAAGGCAAATGAAATGACTCAATGTCATAAACTTGACATTAGTCTGAGGCAAAATAATGGAAAAGCTGTTGAGATGAGGAATTAGTGAACAAAGAATATAACCTATAATCCAAACAATCAACTTGGTTTTATGAAATATAGATTTTGTTTAAAAAAAAAAAAAGGCCAAACCCTAATTTCATTATTTGATGACATTATTATACATTTGGTATGACAAAGGGGACTGCATAGGTGCAACATACGTAAATTTTTGTAAGGCATTGACCTAGCACCATAAGTCAAAAAAATTTACTGTACATAATCAACAGAGCATGTATTAAAAGGATTAAGAAATGCCTAGCCTGCACATCTCAAAAAGAAGCTAATAAAAGGTTGCACTGAATGATGCTTTTCAAGTTTGTCTAGGTCAGATGCAACACAGCGTTTTCAACCTGGATCTGAACGTAAAAAATAACATCTGATACAGTTTGTGGGTGATAAAACTGGCAAAGTGGTGAGTAATCTGGACCATCAGCAAGCTGGATCGATTCAAACAAAATAAACTTTACATTTGACTGTACTGAAGATCAAGTATCTACGAAATAAGAACTCAGGTCACCCCTGTAGAAAGGGGAAAACACTGTCATGGATAGCTGAAACTTCAGATGATCTAGGAGTCATAGCAGACAAGCAGCTAACATGAGCTCCCAGGTAATGCTGTGAGTAAAGGGCAAATGCAATCCTCTGCAGACTTAAGGCAAAGGGCAGGGGGACTTTGTCCATGGCACTGGGGCTTGAACACTGGGTTCCAAAATCCACACTTTCACAAGATCCTGAAAAATGTGACAAGATGTAAAGAGAAAACACAAAAATAATTCATGGGCTGGAGGAAATCCCTTACAGTGAAAGATTTAAGGATTTCCATCTAGTTAGCTTGTCAAAAAGCAGACTGAGAGGTGGTATTACAGTGTTTAAATACCCAGCCAGGGGATAAACACCCACTGTGCTCTAAGGCTCTCTGAATCAATGGGATGGACGTGTCCAGAACTAGTAGCCAAAAGCCAAAGCCAGACAAATTCAAGGGAGGAGAAATTAGGTTCAGCATTTAAACAGTGAGAACACTAAGCCCTTGAAGCAGGCTGCTAATGGAAGGGATAGATTCTCTGTATCCCAGTGCCTCAAAATCAAGCCAATGCATTTCACTAACACATACCTCAAATATACATTAGTTATTGGGGCTCAATACAGGATAAATGGGTTGAAAGGTCACCTGTGAAATGCAGGAAGTCAAATCAGACAGCTTCTTCTAGCCTAAACTATGAATCTATGAAACACTTCAACCATTTGCAGCCAAGTCTGGTGACTAAGCGCACAGAAACAGTTCTCTGCCACAGGCTACACACGTGCAGAGTGCGAAGGGCAGAGCTCCTAGCTTGCCTTGTCAGAGCCACTAGGCTGCCCATAGGCAGGGATGCGCTATTGTCGCATTCACACAGCCGCTCAGGACTCACAGCAACAAGATGCTCATGCAGTGTTCTGGTGCACGGGGAAGGAAAACACGTCACAGGGGCCGGGTGCTCACAGCAGCACCTCCATGAAGCCTTTTACACCAATTTATTTCTATACAAGGTGGTAAAAAAAGCCCCTATTGGTTGTTCATACAGAAGTCTGGGATTCTGTAGGCTTTGGGTGGGTGATTGTTTTTAAATCCCAACAACACATGCTGTTTCCCTTGCCTTCTCATTCTCTTCTGAGTCAGCCTCCATGATCCAAATAAACTAACAAGTGACACAAGACCAGTAGTCATGTGGACCAAAAAAAAGGGAAGGAGAATTGAAGACGAAGAGAGAGGGAAAAACAAACAAAGATTGAAAATAAAAATTCTCCAGGATTATGCGTTTTATAAACACAGAGATAGAAACAGTTACAGCAAGGACAGAGCGGGCCGGGGTGGGGAAGGGATATTTATATATATATATATATATAAATTCAAGGGGCCTTCAGTTTATTCTTGTTGGCTCCCCCTTCTCATTAGATTGGTCTCTCTGTGGGGATCTTCATCCCCTTCTCTCCACTGTCCACCTTTTGGGGATTCTCTCCCATGATCAGGGTCCAGAAGAGGCCACCACTGCCATGTGAGTCCAGCCCGTCTTGGCAAGAGGGAACCTGGGAGAGCATTCTGATGGGAGGTGAGCAGGAGAAGCTAGCCTTTCCCTGCCTCCTGCTGACTCCTTGAAAAGACTGGTCAATTCCTCCTCCTCCTTCCCTTTGGGAAACTGGGGGCAGAACAGGTGTGCCACAGTCAGAACTGCTGTTCCGCCTTTCAGGGAAAGGAGTAGAAAGAAGGGTGATGATTATTTTGGCAGTCTCTTACCCACCCTCCAGTTGCTTTTTGGTTTGTTGTTGATGCCTGCAGGCTCTTTTGAGGAGGTGGGGGGAAGAAGGAGGGAGAGGAGGAGGAGTACAAGCTGCTAGTACATCATCCACAATGGGCAGGAAGAGCAATGAGCAGGAACCCACACTCCTACAGGGCCTTGGCCATCATGCTGCTCAGACAGCTGGGAGAGAAGGAGCAGCCGGTTCAGACTCCTCTCTATTGCTCTCCACAAGGGAGGAGAAACAGTGCAATACTCCACAGCCCTCAGGCAGTTTAGGCACCTGTCAGGTCCAGAGAATACACCTTACGTCTCCCCCCAGTCTCACCTTCCACTGGGGAGAAGGGGGTTTCTCCCATCCAGTCCTCGGGGCAGGACGAGCGACCCCTCCTCCCTTTCACAAGCAGGAGGGACAGGAATGGATATTTCTCTCTTAGACACTCAAGGAAATCCTCAAAAAAACCCATCTAGCTGTGAACCTTGCCACATTCTTCTGTGGCCTGCGGAAAACGTGTCCGAGCCCCTGTACATACAAGGACCCTCTCTCCATCCCATCCACCATGCATGTCTCACAGGCACCCCCCCTTCATACACATCCTACAGTGAGAGAGAAGGCAAAACATGGGCCTTTTCTTTGGGTTTGAAAGGAGGGGCTCTTGCATGAGGAAGTGATCCCAGCACAGGAAAGGGGCTCTTGCACAAGGAAGCATCCTCCTACCAGGCAGTCTGTTGCACAGAAGGAGCACCCCCTTGAGACAGGCTGTTCTTCAAGGGGCTGCCATGAACAGGGTTACACGGCCAGAAGAGGCTGTTGCAGGAGGAGAGGCCGGAGACTGTTGCACGAGGAGGGCTGCTGCACAAGCAGTGCCCCTGGGCACAGGCTATGCACAAGAGGCTTTCTGCTCCCTGGGTCGAGGTCTCTCTAGGAGCTGGAGAGGTGCTCCACTTGGATGGCGCTGGTGCTGACAGTGAGGCAGATGTCCTTGTGATGCTCTGAAGTCTTGTAAGGAGTCAGGTCAAAGGAGCACTGGGGGGGAGGGTTGGGTTGGTTAGTGTCTCCAGAAGGGCCCCCTGCCGCCCCACCCCCCTGGGGCTGGAAGTGCTGCTGCTGCTGCGAGGCCTGGGCTTGGGCCTGAACCACTTGCTGCTGCGGGTCGGGGATGTTGTGTTTCCGCATGTGCTTCATCAGGTACGTCTCCTGCAATGGGAAGAACAGCATTAGAGGAGGGGATGACTTTTACAAAAGGCAAAGCCAACAGGAAGGCTTGCAACAGCTCATGGGGCTGCTCACACTGGACCTGGAGGATCTACTCCTTCCAGTTGTGCTCCCCACCCTACGTGGTGCAAACACTCACCGAGGTGTAGGCCCGGCTGCAGATGGAGCAGGTATAGACCTTGGCGTGTTTCACCGTGTGCGTAGCCAGGTGTACCTCCAACGAGGCAGCATCCGTGTACGCGCGGTGGCAGTTGTGGCACTTGAAAGGTTTGTCTTTGTTGTGCTGCCGTCTGTGGGACTGTGGTGACGGCAGCAGGGTGGAAGAAAGAGAAAGCAAGTGCAGGAAAGGAACTGAATATTAATATTGGAGGTAGCTTTACCTCTCCCTCTTAGTCCCTTCCAGAAAGCTCCAAGTTCCCTAGGTCCCAGTATGCCTAATGATACGCACCTGGCTCCTGGTTTAGGACACAGAGCTCTTGTCTCCAGCCCACGTCTTGCCCATAGATACCATTTATTCTTTGGGCATACTAGATGTTTGAAGAGGGGAGTTTCCTGACTCTCCACAACCCCCATCTCAGTCTTCACCCAACTCTCAGTCTTTTCCTTTTCTTCCTCCTCTTCTGCCTCACTCCACGTTTACTCCCCACATCTGTCACTGCCCTTGAGGGCAGAATCTCTTTTAAGTGTTCATGGGCATTTACGGCTATTTGCCTCTTGGCATCTCCTACAGTTGTCCTCCGACAGGGTACTGGAATACAGCACAGCACCTCTGCTTCCCTAAATCCCTATTCTTACATACCCTCATTTCATTGTAAAAACAAAATACTATCAGATACTGATGTTTTATTCCACGTTTCACATTTAGCAAAAGCCTTGCCCCCGGCTGAGTCAGAAAACTCCACAGAACAGATCAGAAGGAGAAGAATCCAGCTTTACCAAGGTCTCAGCACTTTCAAGTCAAGCTTACAATTCTGCAGAAGGGAACTCGTTTTGTGACTTCTTGGGGTCACCAGTGCCACAAGAGCCGTGAATAATTCCCCCCAGTGCATCAACAGCTTTTTGGTACTCTCTTGCTTTCCTCCCAGCTGCCCCAATTCCTCCATCTCTTCCAGGACATGGCAAGAAGTTTCTCCTCCTGCTTGAGAGTCACGTTTGCCTCCCCCACTGGTGAGCACGGCAAGCCCAGCCCCTTACCTGCAGGTTGGAAAGCTGGGTGAAAGCCTTTTCACACCCAGGGTGAGCGCATTTGTAGGGTCGGTCCCCGGTGTGGATACTGTCGAGGAGGAAGAGCACAAATGGGAGGGCGTGAGCAACTAGGCAGGGCAGACTGCCAGGGCCTGATGCTATGATCAAATCTCACAGCCACTCAGGAGAGCAGGGTAGGGGATGATGTTGCCTCCAGATGCTGTTCTAGCTGGACAAAGAGAGCTATCCCTAGCCCCTGTGTCCAGCTACGTGTTAAAGAAGATATGTATGCATTCAAGCAGAGTTCAGAGAATGACTAGGAATGAGAAGCAAGAGCTCATGAATGTGCAGCCAGCTTGGCATGTGGGCCACCTGAAAATGTGGTGGGAAGGGGTCTGGAGGCCCAGGCTCCTTGCTCCCAGCTCAGGTGTCCCATATGAGCAACGGGACTCTCCTCTTCCGCTTCCCACAATACCTTGAAAACAGCTCTGTTCCTTTTCAGGATACACGCTCAAATTACTTTTCCCCTCACATTATCAGGCTTAAATCACCTACAGCATGTGTCTGTCCCTGTCCCCCTGCAATGCCAGAAGCTTCCACACACTCAGTCACAGAGCCCAACCCCCACGGTGCCGGGCTGGGATCCCCTACGGCCAATGCCTCTCTCTCTTATCGTTCTCTCTCTGTGCCCCCCGCGGTGCAAGACCAAGGGTCCCCAGGGCCAACATGTGCCCACCTCTGCCCTGATGTGGTCAGTGTCTCCTGCGCAGCCTCCA